GCCAACTGTGCTTCTAGCAAAATTTTCCTTATTGTAGTGTAGAGTGACAGGCAATCAGTGCTGATACCAGAGTATAAAACACCCATATATGCATCATACAATTTCTTATTTTCTTCAGCCAAGGTTAGTCATTATTAGTTAAGGGTACACATTAGCATCAAGCATTTTTAAGGAGCTCATAGTATTTAGGTGCCATAGGATACATCTTTAAATAACCTAAAATGATGACAACGCAATACAAAACAAATTCTGATTTGATGTAACTGTTCACTGTTGTTCTTGGTTTGTTGTAAAGAACAGGATGTTTTCTACGTTTAGCTGTGACTGGATTACCAATGAAGAGTAATTTTTAAAACCTATTAATAGTTAGAACCACCACTTTTCACCTAGCTGTTTGCTTTATGGATTTGATCTCTTTTGGGAAATAGCTATATACATTTCTCTCATGATTCATTAAGCTAAAAATCTAGTTGAAGACTGGTCACCTTTTACTCGTATGTGTTTGGAATAATCCTATAAAAGAAAAGCTCCTAATGACTACCAAAGAGCCCAGTGCTTTGAAATTTAGATGGATTTAATCTTGGTCATGTCTTCCAATGCTAAAGTCCATTGAAGTGTTCTAATTTAAGGCTTTTAAAACTTTCTTGTAATAACTAGGTTATCTGGGAAAGAATTAACAGATTATTTATCAGGGCAAGAATAATTTAAAATGAAAAGCTAAGACAATAATTACATTAAGAAATCAAGGAGAGATGTTATTAGGAAGTTTCCAAAAGAATTTATGTCCTGAATTTTATAAGTATTATAAGACATTACAGAAAGAGGAGGCAACTGGCAGATGTCAAATAAATGGAACAATTGTTTAGGATATATATTTTACTAACTGGTACAACACATGAATCAGAGTTGAAACCTCAATAGTCATGTAGTCCAACCCCTTGCATAAATGCAGCATGAGCTAGTTATAAACCTTCCCAGACATATGCTTATCTACTCTCTTCTTGAAAACCTCAAATGAAGGAGATGCCATGACTTTCCCAGGCAACTTATGCCATTGTTTCACTGTACTCACATACATACAAAAAGGGGAACTTCCTCAAATCAACCTATTGTTAGTACTACATAGGTTCATATTACTAAAGCACTGTCAGTGGCTTATAATGCACACAGCTGGAATGTGTGTTTCCGTAGTATGAACCACTTCTTTCTACATTTTGTATATAACTGCCATTTTGACTGGAAACTTTCTTTTTTAGTTTTATGTCATTCTTAAACAAAAACCAAACATAATAGCTAAGGTGCAAGGAGAATGTCAGTCTTCACACATCACTAGGTGGCTTTTGCTGAATAGACTTCTGGTTTCATTATGCTTGTGTTATGACACCCCCCCCCCCCCCACAAATTTGTGAAGACGAATGCTGTTTCTAATACTATATTGTTATATTTTCATTGTGTAGCTAGAAAGAAGAATGCCAACATGGCTAGAATTTTCCATTTTCTCCACCTTCAAACTGGCTAGTAAATGCATTCAATTGATATATGATGTTATCGCATCAAAACTAGACAGTTACAGTAATACACAGTTACACCTGGCCACATGTTCAGGCAATTAATGGTGCACTATAATGTGAAACCAGCCATGGATTTTTTACACAAAAAATGTGTAGCAATTTTTCAGCTGGTTTTCATAGCACATAAAACGAACATGTGGTTTGTTGGACCACACTGGGGGCTCCAGCTGGCTCCGGTACAGTCTGTACCAGTTGTCAATCAGCTGATTGTTGGCTGGATGAGGTACCATACCATGGCTTGAATTGGTCAGCTGATTGTTGGCAGTATCAGGACTGCACTGGGGCTGCCCCATGTGGTCCTAATGTTGCTGAAGATCAGCTGATTGTTACTTTGTAGGGATGGCAATGGGGTTTGAGCCCCAATACAGTTCCCTACCAGGGGTCAATCAGCTGATTGTAACAGCATGGGAGTTCACTGAGGTTCAAACCCAGGGGTGTCCCTGAAAAGCAATGATGAACTGATTGTTAGCAGCATTGGGCCTACACTAGGCATCCCTGGTACCTCCTTGAGGCTGGCTCCTGGGACCAGCTCAGGCTGTTTTAAGCCCTGCTGTGGTCCCTGTAGCCAGCCAGAAATCAACTGATCTTTGGCTGGATCAGGACTGCATCAGGTTTCAAACTGGTCATGGTATGGTCCTTCCAGCTGATTGTCCTTCCAGTTGATTGGTCAGCTGATTGTCAACAGCACTGGGACCACATCAGGAAGCTCTTGTCTGGTCCTGAGGCTGTTGCTGATTAGCTGATTGTTGCCTCACTGGGACTGTACCATGACCTAGGCACCCCCTACAGTGACAAGCTGGAAGTGATTAGAGTCTGATCCCTGCTCCCAAAATTGCACATCCTGCCATGCATGTATCATCAGGCAGGAGGCAAGATTGATGGGATTGAAGATCAGATCTTACTATGCTTTTAAATGAACATCTGTCAATGGCTTAACTGTTCTTCTGACACCAAAAGTATCAAAAATGGTGGGTTGATACATACAGAGGAAAAGACACATTAAAAGTTATGAAGTCATGGGTAGAGAAAGAGTACAAACAAATGTGACGTTTGGTCTGGCATACAGAAAACTAGAACTCTTGGTTCCAAAATGAAACCGTTTATTAGACCAACTGGAAAATGGCAAGAAAATTGTCCTTGTCTGCAAGCTTTCAGGTTCAAAGTCTCTTCATCAGGTTCTGGGGAAAGTGTAGATGGTACAAAATGGTAAAAAGAAAATGGCAAGAAAAGGACAATTTTCTTGTCACTTTCCAGCTGGTCTAATAAAAGGTATCATCTTGAAACCAAGAGTTCTAGTATTTTGTACATCTTTTTGTCTCAGACCAACACGGCTACCAAGTACACCCTGAAACATGGAAGATGCCAAATTTGAGCTGATTTTGGATTTTAAACTTCATTGCAGAACAACAAGGAAGTTTTTTGTTTGTTTGTTTTGTACCTCCCTGCCTGCCATCTGACACCTTCAGGGAAGGAATTCTACCTGATCTACATATCAAAGAGCTACTCAACACAGCTTACAAAGACACTCATGGACCCAGAGGGACAGCCCTCCATCTTCAGCTCCCTCTGTGCAAAAATGAAGTTTATTTCCTACCTATGGGGACTTTTTACTATCTTGTACCATCTACACTTTTCCTAGAGCCTGACGAAGGGACTTTGATCCCAAAATCTTGCAGAAAAGGACAATTCTCTTGCCATTTTCCAGTTGGTCTAATAAAAGGTATCATTTTGGAACCAAGAGTTCTAGTTTTTTGTATGTCATTTTGTCTCAGACCAACACAGCTACCAAGTACACCACTGAAACATTTGGTCTGGGGCATTTTATCCTGGAATAAATTGCTGTCATTCAGATGTTCATTTCTCCTGTTCTGGTTCAAGACTCAGACAGGGGCCAGGGAGCCCAGCATTGCCCAAGAAGGGTAGAGATAGCCCAGAGAAGGGCAGAACTTGGGACCAAAGATCCTGGACCCTGAGAAGGGTGGGGATGGACCAGAGGGTCCAGAACCTAAGAAGGGTAGAGATAGTCCAGGGAGGGGTAGAGCTTGGGGCCAGAAGGCCCAGGACCTGAGCAGGGCAAGATAAGGGGATGGAGCCCAGATACCAGGTCTGGAAGAGCAGGCCTTGGCTAAGGGACCAGCTAGAGTAGAGGGGCAGAAGCCGGGAAGGCCAAAGCCCCAACAAGAGAGTAAAGGCCTGAGGTAGCCTGGTGGTTTTGTGGGGACAAGTGTCCCACCTGAATGATGATACATAACACTTGCGAGGCATGGGCACAGCTGTAGAGGACATTTGGAGGCTGTGATTAGACCATAAGGCAATGGGTGTCTTGGGGCATGTGATGGATGGGAGAGCCTACCTAACTGGAGGGTTTGGCGCTATCAGCACAGTCAGAGAGAGAGAGGGGACTCACTGGCAGGGATAGACCAAGGCTTGCTCTAGGACCTGTGGGCAACCTCCCTTTTCAATCTGTTACTAAGAACAAGATGTGGCAGTCGAGAAGGGAGGGTATGTTAGGGTGCAGACAGATGTTCAGACCCTTGCTCTAACTCAAGGAAGGGGAGGCAAAGAGGGGGAGCAACACTGAGCTGCCAGCTGGGGTTTGCTTCCTGGCTGGAGCTGGGAAGGGGTGGAACACAGCCCCCATGCCTTGCAGTCCCCTGCCCCGCCACCAGCACTGTGGATGCTGCTTTGTCCTGCCTCCTTCAGGTGAGGCTGAGCAAAGCAGAAAGGGGGAATGAACAGCACTGAGCTACCAGCTTTCCTGATCTGAGCTCAAGGGGAGGAGGGGGGAACAGAGCCCCCTCACCTTATGGGCCTGGCTCAGTTCCCCCCCAGTACCCCAGGTAGCAGGTTTTGGTGGAGGGGCAAAAAGTGGGCGGGCAGGCTCTGTTCCACCCCCCCTCACCCCAACTCCAGTCACGCATCAAACCCCAGCTGGCATCTCAGTGCTGCTCTCCCCCTCCCTCCACCCTTCCCCAACGGCTCAGGAGGAACTGGGCTGCATCAGCCCAGCCCACACCATGTGAAAAGCTAACCCTAGGGAACACATGTTCCTTAAGACACTAACACAGAGCGCCTTCATCTAATACCTTATATGAGGAAGGTTAATTTTTTGCACAATCATCCACTTCAAAAGTGCTCTGCAGCCATGCATGTGTGTCACAACATGACTGTAGAGTGCTTTCAAGGGCTCAGTTGCATGAAAAATATTACTTGTGTAAGTGCCCTTAGAGACCAAGCTAAGCAGGAACCATTCAGCTGGCCCTGGAGCCTGGTCCTATTACAGGGTACATTTACGCTCCAGAAGAACTGGAGAGTAACCCCTTGCTGGCTGGTCCAATAGAAGTTATGCTCAGTCATTCTTAGCTTGAATATGTCCACGCACATTGACAGACAGTACAACCATGAAGGAAAAGATGATATAATCACTACCTTAATGAGAACGTGAATATCTCCTGTGGCTTTGGATGACTTGAAGTACCAGAAGCTCATCATACAATCTGACCTTGATTCTTTCCATCGAGAGCTTTTCACGTGGGCTTTTTCTCCTCTTAATCCTATTGGCGTAGCTTCAAGATACAGAAATTGCCCTGAAAGTAAGAGTTATATGACATTAAAATGGTTTTGGACTTTCGGGTTATGTTTCATGGCCCAAACTCAGCAAAACTAAACGCAGAGAGATATAAACCGTATCACTTAAGAGTTAACAAAGCCCCTTCTTTGGAACTTGCGTCCCCAGAAAGAAGATGAGGACAGCTTAACATTATCATGAGACTGCCTAGCAAACTGTCTAGTAGAAGTCTCTGAAAAGACATAGTGAACTGACATATTTTTCACCCATGTTGGCTATATCCCCTTTTTCTAACAACACCACCTGCTTTTCAGGTTGTGCTGCCCATTAAATGACAGCATTTCAGATGCCAACTGCAGCACCTTCCCTTTTACCTTCCCTTCCCTTTTTTGGGGCCCTTTCACCAACATAATTAGATGTAGGCTCAGATCCAATTCACCCAAGTAGGCATCTAAAAGTAACTTGGGTGGAATTGAGGGGTGCATCCAGACTTGTGTGGACATTTGGTTCCTCGGGGACAAGTAGCGGCAGTGCATCTTGCACCACCACTTCTTGTCCCTGGGGAATGTCTGTGCCACACACTTTGGCATGCAGCAAGTAGCCTCAGGTGGCATAGGGGAGGCTGGGGCCAGCACTATGCTGGCCCCAGCAGCCTTACCTGGGCTCCTGGGGGCCTCCTGGAGCTGCAGCCATGGCAATCCTGCTGGGTGGAGCCTCACCAGCAGTTGCAACATGGCTCTGAGCAGCCCGGCTCCACTTTTTAGCAATGCATGCTGCCCAAGCGTGTGCTGCTCCATTTTGGGTTTTTTTTTCCATATTTTTTTTTTACCCCGGATATGCAGGGGCTCAAAAAAAAAACCACAGAAAAAATCTGGAGCAGCGCACACTTGGGCAGTGTGCCCTTGCAATGAAGAGAACTTTGGACTGTGTGGTATGTGGCACTACAAATGTGTTTGCGCTCATCTGGACATGCCCATGGTGTCTTAAATCAGAAAAAGTGATCCAGAACCACTCCACTCCAGTAGCTACAATCCCTCTTAATTGCCTAATTTCAGTAGGCACCTTTATTTTGTCCAAAAAAGAGAGTTCTTCATACCCAGGCTCAGGTTTCTGTGCAGTCTCCGAAATGATCCAGCTCAAGCATTTAACACTCATTCCTGTGCTCCATTGTGATCAATGTTGGCCAGTGCCTAAGGTCTACCTAGGTTAGGCACAAACAAACCATACTTAACTGACACTGAGAATATTAAGTTGAGCAGAAAATGCAGCTTCTGAGGTCATTCTCATTGGAAAAGATGGGGAAGAAATGTGGTAGTGGTGGTGTGGACCTCTTGCACAATAATCTAGTGGGAAAGTACTTGCCTGGGGTGTAGGAGACACGGGTTAGGTTCTCCTCAGCTGTGGTGATTAAAGCCCAACATATCTCCCACCTTCAGAAGTATAAGCCTAACTTCCAGGCTACAGAAAGGTCTGACTGGGGTAGCCTCCATCCCTACTATGCAAACACAAAGGAAAGAGTCATGCAAGTCAAAGAGTGAGCAAGCAAAAGACAATTCTGAATCTGTAAAGCCAGGTGGTGAGGGCTGGTAAAACGAACAAACAGCTCTAGGAACAGAGAATGGTCCTCAGGAGTTTCAACTAGTACACTGTCCACATCTCATCTGTTCTATAGCCCAGTGGCTTATGCATTCTCCTGAGATGGGGTTTGAATCCCCCATCACTAAGGCAAATATATCATGCACCACTAGGATGTTATGCATCACCATTTTTACCACTCATTAGTAGCTGAGTACCCTTTGACTGCCTTGGATTCTGAGTTGATGGAGATGCCTGACATGAATCAGGCCCTTAAGTTCTGAAGAGGAGTGTTTCCTGGTCTTGTGTTTGTTTTTGGCTACCTGTCCCCATTCAGCACCTAGGTTCTCTCAGTTTCCCTTTGGAGTCAGCTAACTTTCTTTAAGAAATAAGAGGGTGCCTGTACATGAGCTGGGAGGCTGCTCTGATGTGCTGTAATTATAGATTAATCAAGTCTGCTGGAGCATAGTTATTGCCGCATTCCAGCCAGCCTCTGTGTCTCATGTATCAGCTTCAAAATGGTGGCAGGGGAACTTTAACTAAAGCTGTGGTTTTTGGCATGTGGCTGAAAAATAGAAAAGTATTTTCTATACAAGTCTTCAAGGAGCCATTCCTTACAAGCGCCAGTTCTGGAAGAATTGCATAAGAAACTCTAATAAATATGACGGTAAATTTTCTGTGAGAGATGGCACCCAACAAAATAGCAGGTAACATGAGCCCAAAGCTTGTCTGGTAAGAAAATGAGCTAATCAACCCTTAAAACTTCTGCAGAGATGTAGATCTATAGGTATCCATAGCACAGCACATTAGTTCAGCCCATCTGCATTTTCAGCATATGACTATTATCCTGGTTTTTAAATTACTTATTTTGAAAAAGATAGCAAATAAATACACATACTTAAAAAAAACATTTTCAGGAGATGATACCTCATGGGTCCTGCATTTCTTTGCCATGACGAAATTTCATCAAATCATTCAATCACAGAGTGTAATAAATACAGCAAATTTTCAAATAAAATCATTTTTTCGTGTGCAAACAATACAGTGGAGTTCAAATAAATGTAATCATAGTATAACTAGCACACTTTTGATCAAATTATAAATGCATATTTATTGCATTACATATATGAATTAGGTATAAAAGTCCCTTTCAGTAATGTGGGTTTCATCATTTATAACTGACTGCAACTCTTCTCCAGCTCATTTGCTACAATATTATGGTGAAAAAAATTGCTTTCCATCTGAAATCAGGCAGAAAACTGAACAACCAATGCCTTCTGCAGAAAAAATGTCTTCTTTTAGGTGGCGCAAAATAAAATGTCTTTTTCTAACACATTTAGTATATTGTGTTATCACAACCATTAGCTTAAAAAAAACTTTGTGGCACTGTGAGATCTCACAGAAAGCATGGCATTGTTGCAGTACCGGCGTAGGCTGGAAGAAATAGGCTGGGGTAGGATGGTGGGGAACTCATGGTAATATTAAAATATGCTCCTAATTAGAAAAGTGTCTGTGGAATACCTAACTAACTAACTAACTATCTATCTAAATAAAAAGCAGTGTCATCCTCCACAGAAATGCATTTTCATATTTAGGGACAGATCAACCTACGTAAGTGACAAATTTTATCTGTTTCTATTTGCTTACTGTGTTGTTGGAGATTGTGCATCTAAGGGCTAAGCTTCTCAGACAAACTGTCTGGGGTGAGCACTGTGTCATCAGGCACAATAAGTAGGAACTGGACAACAAATAATAGCTTTTTTTTTTTTTTTTTCAATTGTTAGCCTCTCAAGCACTGGAATTCAACCTCAAAGGGCCTTGTGCATTGCAACACCGAATGTTACAATGCCTATTTTTTAAGCACCTGGTCTGCATAATGGAACCCACAGTCCTAAGTCAGATGTCTGAGCTTCCTAAACAATGCACCAAGAATTTGAAGTCACAGTATGGGACTGACAGACATGGCACTCTGAGTAGTCATTAGGGAAACAATAACTGGAAACAGAAGTTGTCCATAGAATGTGATCAGCCATGCCACAATATGTCATGCCACAGCTGATCATGCTCCAAGGACATCTACAGTCACCCTCACTTGGGGTTTTCTCCCCCTTGCAGACGTGCCCTTGTGTTTGGAAGTTTCCTCCCTTCCCTCTTCCAGATACTTGTACAGGCAAATCACTCTGCATGGGATTTCCCTTATCCCTGTCTGCAAGCACAGAGGGAGTAAGCTCCCATAGGGTTTCCCCCTCTGCATCTATAGCCTATGCCCATGCAGAGGGATCCTACTGGCACACATATCACTTCTGCATGGGGGAAGGAAACCCTGCTTGCACACATATGCCCTATGTCAGGGCAAAACAGTGACTTTCTCTGCTTATCCAGACATGTCCCTGAAGATCCCTGGGATGCCTCTAGGTCGGCAGGGAAAACACGGCAGGCACTCCCAAGGCTTGAGGGAATTTGCCTGGGAATTCTCAGGGTGTGCAAAAACTAAGCTCCTCAAGCCCACAGACCCTGTGCCTCAGGTGGCTGGAGAGGACAGGCACCTTCAGACTGCCCTTACTCTCCTACCCTTAACAAACAGATGTGGGTCACAATGAAGTGGCCCAATGTATTACTATCTTCTGTCATGGCCACAAATTTGAGCATTCATGATTTGACAGAAGGTATGGATCTCTTTTTTGCTTTCACTTTGTACCACCCTAAAATTTTTTACAGTCGCTCAAAGGTGATGTCTGTTTCTACCCACTGAGGCCAGGATGCATCTTAGATATGTCCCGTCAAGAAATCACTTCTTCCTAGGGCTGTGCAAAATAGCACCATTCCACTTCGACGTCTGTTTTAACATTTCAACAGAACAGTGTTTCTTTTAGAGTTTTGTTTAGTTTTGAAAGCACTGTGCCATTTTGTTTCATCAAAACTTTTTTGCTGTTTCAATGCTGCTTTGATATTTTGCCCACCCAGCTCTGGAAAGATCAGTGCTGCCTCTGGCCCCAGATCAGCAGCAGCACCAATCTTCCCAGCATGGGCTGCACCCAATTGGCAGCACCAGCCTCCTGTCATCTGGCAGGCAGATAGGGCCCCCACACTCCTAGGAGGAGTCAGCAGAGCTCTGCAGCCCTCCCAGGATCAGGCACCAGTCCCTGCATGACCTAATATGCCCTGGGCCCTGTACTGGAGCCAGCTCGAGGGGGTGCAGGGCCAGCTCATGTGGGTACCCTCCCCCACCCCAGGATCGAAACACATCAAACCAGCTTTGAAACGAAACACAGGGCAAAATTTCACATGGCCCTACTTCTTCCCCCTCAGAAAGGACTGTGTGGAACTTGGAGCACTTATAGCCTCTCTTTCAAGCTCTGAGTAGGGCTGACTTCTCTTTTAAAGCATGAAGAATGAAGAGTGCACTGTCTTTATGTAAAATATGGATTTAAACAATTAGCTAGTTGTCCAAGCACTCATAGGGCATGCCCACACATGCAAGCACATGTGCTTGCAGCAGCTCAAATAGAAGCGGTGCTGGGGCTTTTTGCCTCAGTGCATGTGTTCAGACATGCACTTTATTGTGAAGCAAATTGTGCCACCTGGGGCAAAATAATCCTGTGCTGTGCGGGTAGGGCCCCAGTGATCCTGACTGCAGCTACAACTGCTGGTAAGTGCCGGGGGTTTTTTCCTTTGTTTTTTAAATTGAGGATGCTGGGGTGGGAGGGCAGGGAGTGGGGGCCTCAGGGAGCTGGGGCCAGGCAGGCC